GAAAGGGATAATTCGGTACATGTGTGTGGTGATGGGTTGTAATTAGTATTTTGGTGGTGAACATGATGTAATCTATGCAGAAATAGAAGTACAATGAGGTACACCTGAAATTTTTACAATGTTATAAACCAATGTTACTGCAATAAACAAAAAATTAAAAAAAAAATACAAGGAGAAAGAAAAAATAGGTAACACAGTTAAAGCATAGTGGAGAGAGTGGCAGAAGACAAGGTTGGAGAGAGGGGAAGGAACAGATCTCACAGGACCTTGTAAGCCATGTAGAGGTGTTTACAATTTATGTGAAGATCAAGGGGAAGACACCAAAGGCAAATAGCATGCCTTAGCTTTGTAAAAGATCATTCCTCTAAGTGCTATGCAGCAAATGAACTGAAAGACGGAAGAACGAAACAGAAAGACCATTTAGTAGGCTATTCCACAACCCAGATGAAGGTTATGTCCCTCTGGACTAAGGTGGCGGTGGTAGTGTAGGGAACATGCAGAAAGATACAGCTGAAGTGCATCTAGAAATTATAATCATCTAAACTTGATGATAAGCTATATTTGGTAGACAGAGTAAAGACAAGTATTATGAATGAATCCCAGGTTTCTGGCTAGTGATTAGAAGTACCATTTATGGAGGTGGTGAAAACTGCAACAGGAAGAGTGGATTTTTGTTTGTAAAAAGAGAAAAAAATCAGCCTAGAACTTAAGTCCTGAAGACCTCTAACATTTCAAAGATGGTTAGTGGAGAAGGAACTTGTAAAGAAAACTGAGATCAGTGAAGAACAAAGTAATGAGTGTGGTGTCACTGAAGCCAAGAAAAGAGAGTCTAAAGAAAGAGGAGGCACATCAATACTACCAAATGATGCTGAAAGTCTAGTTAAGACATGGACTGAAAATGCCCTGGATTTGGAAACATGGAGACAGATGGTGATCCTAGGAAGAACAGTATGGTGTGGGTGGAGCCCAGAAAACATTGTGTAGACCTAAGCTTTTATTGGTGCACCCATTGCAATTACATAAAATCGATATATAAGATAGAAGTATACTTGTCCAGTGACAGAAATATTAGTGTTCACCAACCCGAGTCCTGCTTCCAAATTTTAAACTGCCTGGGAGGCCAAACCAGCAACACATCAAGTTGCTTGTTCAGCAAAGAATCCAAGTAAATGAATGGGATAGTCTTGAAGAATATTTAACCAAGTAAATGACTAAGCCTGATAAGTTACCCCTAACCCACATCCCAAGAGATTGAATATTCTTTCTGGAGGATAATATGGTGTAAAAATAATTACAAGTCCAAATCTTGCTCCCTCATGCAAATAACTTAACCTCTCTGAACCCAACGTACCTCATCTATAAAGTGAGGATGGCACTAATGATTTCACAGGGTTGGTGCAAGGATTAGCTAATACATGCAAAGAATATACTAATATTATTAGTATACCATCTATCACATAGTATTTGATAAATAGTAGTCATATTATTAAATATAAAGAGGAACAATATCTATTAATGTTAAAAGAAGTAAATAGGATAATATATACAATAATAGAAAGCTTCCATTGTTGACGTGGCCTTAATGTTCCTTCCCTTTGACAACTAATGAATGAACACTTTAAGGATATTCTTTATCTTGGCTTTCCCTTTCTAAATAGTGAAATAAGTCTCTATATGATTAACACATTCATTACTCAGAGAGAGTAACATAAAAGTTAGAAAAAAGTTAGAAAAAAGTAAGAGTCTTTCTTTCCTGAGACTCTTGGCCATCTTGATGGAATACAGGTGTTCTTCAATCTCTCCAGGCAAGCATTAACTATTTCTTAGGTTGCTCTATTTTTACACAGAGATAAACAATTTTGTTCATTATGTATTGCCTCTTTTGACTTTACCTATAAAAACAACACGTACTCATTATTAAAAATTTTAAATAAATGGAAAAATAGAAAAAAATCATCTGCAAACGTAGATATTTTCATGTTTTTAAACTTTTTGATGCATAGTTTATGGTTTTATTTTGCTTTATATAGCTGCCTATATACTGGATATAGTACTTTTAATCCTTTTACACTTAACATACATATTTGCCTATTTCATTATAAAATCTCTTTAAATGTTTTTTTTTTGTTTTTTTTGTAAAGATTTTATTTATTTATTTATTTTTCCCCCCAAAGCCCCAGTAGATAGTTGTATGTCATAGCTGCACATCCTTCTAGTTGCTGTATGTGGGACACGGCCTCAGCATGGCCAGAGAAGCGGTGCGTCGGTGAGCGGCCCGGATCCGAACCCGGGCCGCCAGCATCGGAGCGCGCGCACTTAACCGCTAAGCCACGGGGCCGGCCCTCTTTAAATGTTTTTAATATCATTTTGATGGAATCAATTGAATATCGCGTAGCTGACTCCATTTTACAATATTCTACAAATATTTATGCGCCTAATATGCCAGACACAATACAAGACGCTGAAGGTACTACAAAAAAAGAAAATAGATACCATCTTTGCATTCATGGAGTTTAAAGTGAAGGAGCCAGACATTAAATAATCACACAATATCAGTGCTATGATGAAAAAGTAGAATATGCTGTGACACAATATAAGGGGTAACTTAAATTAAGATTAGCAGCACAGGGTAGGCCTCTGTGAAGAAGTGATATATAAACTAAAAGGAAGTCCTCAGAGACCACTTCTGTTGTTTTTACCTGCCTAAAATTCTTCCCAATTTCTTTTCCAAATAGCACCCTATTTTCGATCAGGGAAGTACCCTCCTAAATTTCATACACTCTTGGCCTAGGGCTGAACATGTGACTGAAGCTGAGACAAACTTGTCTCTCCTGGGAATTTAAATCTTGAATGCATACTTACAATGGCAGAAAATGGTCAGACCTAAGTTAGTCTAATGGTAGTAACATTAGGAGTCTATTAATTCTTATTTACCTAGCCCTTGAAACTACCCTTATTTCTCTTCTCCCAAAAGTCTGGGATAGGGTTTCTCCTTTAATTTGCTAAAATGAACATATATCTCCAATAAATTTTTCGTGCTTAAATTTGACAGAATCCACTTCTGTGGCTTACCCACAACGGACCCTAAATGATATAGCCAGTGTGGTATAAGTAAAGAAATAAGATGCTCCAAGATGAAGCTAGAAGCCAGCCTAAGGACCAGATCATGTAGAACCTTGCAGGCCATAAAGGACTTTTCAACTTCATCCTAATGAAAAGCCATCAAGGCGTTTTAACCAAGAGAGTGGCATGATCGAAATTATATTTTTGAAAGATCACTTTGGATAAAAAAATGTGAACGGGCCGGCCCCGTGGCTTAGCGGTTAAGTGCGCGCACTCCACTACTGGCGGCCCGGGTTAGGGTCCCGGGTGCGCACCGACGCACCGCTTCTCCAGCCATGCTGAGGCCGCATCTCACATACAGCAACTAGAAGGATGTGCGACTATGACATACAACTATCTACTGGGGCTTTGGGGAGGAAAAAGGAGGAGGATTGGCAATAGATGTTAGCTCAGAGCTGGTCTTCCTCAGCAAAAAGAGGAGGATTGGCATGGATGTTAGCTCAGGGCTGATCTTCCTCACAAAAAAAAAAAAAAATGTGAGAAAGTAACAACACTCTCTATGTAGGCAAAATTCTAAAGATGTCTCCCCAAGTTTCCTATCCCCTGGTTATTCAATCAAACACTAATGTAGGTACTGTTGTGAAGAGACTTGGCAGATTGAATTAAGGTATTGATCAGCCAACCTTAAAAAACGTGGATTATCCTGGATTATGAAGGTGGGCCCAGTGTAATCATACGAGCCCTTAAAAACAGAAGAGGACGGGCAGAAGAGTCAGTGGGAGATGTAGCAGAAGAGAAAGCAAGAGAGATGAAACAGATGGGAAATTCAGAGAGATTCTAAGTGTGAAAAGGATTCAACTCACCTTTGCTGGATCTAAGATGTAGGGACACAAGCACAAGGACGGGAGATAAGCCTCTCAGGAGCTCAGGGAGGCCCTCAGCTGACAGCCAGAAAGGAAATGGTGACCTCAGTCCTACAACTATAAGAGAAGAACTGGATTCTGCCAACAACCTGAATGAGCCTGGAAGTGGACTGCTCCCAGAGTCTCCTGATAACAAAAGCCCAGCTGGCCAACACCTTAATGTCAGCCCTGTGAGACTCTAAGCAGAGAAATCGGCTAACTCAATCCAGACTTCTGACTGTGCGCTCATAAACTTCTGTGGTTTTAAGCTGCTAAACTTGTGATAATTTGTTATGGCAGCAACAGAAAACTAATAAACTTACAGTACCAGAAAGTAAGGAAGCGTTCAAAGAATAATGGTGACATATCAAAAGGACAAGGAGCCAGCTTAAAGGGGCTACCACTGACTAAATTGTGAACAATTTGAGCATCACAATAAATGGATTATAACCTCATGAAATCCACAAGGCCACACTGATATAAACTGAAAGTGTGATGAAGAACAGGATATTTACATAGTCTCACAGTTTATTCCACAAAACACTTACTAATTATAAAGGGGAAAAGAAAACCTTTGTATTGGAAAAGCCTGATTATGTGCCACCTGATAAGATGCAATGGAAAGATCACTTCTATGATATCCCACTACAAAAAACATAACCTGAATCCAATAATGAAAAAAATAAACCAAATCCAAAATAACTAGCCTATAATCTTCAAAAATTTTAAGACAAGCATAAAACTTGAATGGCATCTGAAGACTAGATGCTAGTAACACGGCAATGTTAATTTCCTGTTCTTCATAGTTGTACCATGATTTTGTATTTCTTGTTGGTAAGAAAAACTTAAGTATTCGGGGCCGATGGGGCACGATGTCTGCAACTTACCCTCAAATGGTTTAGGAAAATAAAGTTCTCTATATAGATTAATAAATGGAAATTATAAAAGAGAGGTGAAGGACAGAATGAAAGTGCAAATATGTCTAACAAAAGTTCCTGAAGAATAGAAATAGGAAAAAGTGATATTTTAAAACATAATGGCTACAACTATGTCCAGAATTGATGCAAGTCATGAATTCTCTCAATAAAGAAGCACAAAAAGTCCCCAAAAGAATAAAGTTACATCTAGACATACTGCCCAAAACAAAGAAAAGATATTAAATGCGTGAGTAAGAATAGAACAGTTTGAGGGGTAGGCACACAAACAGGAATGCAAGATTAAAAGAGAGTTTGGGTCTTTTTAGGTTTTTTTCAAAAGGAGAGATACTAGAGCATGTTTAGATGTAGAAGCCAAAGATAAGTGATGGTGAGAGAGACGAGGAAGAAACTACAATGACAAAGTCTCTGAGAGGGCAGAGAAAGATGAGATCCAGAGACTAAGTAAGGACTAGCCTTTGATAGCAAGCAGAACTGGAAGGAAGAAAATGAGGATGGATACAAAACAAGTAGATTGCAGAATTAGGGGATGAGAACATGAAATGTTTTCTGGGAGTAAGAGACAAAGACATCTAACATATTGGGGATGGGGAAAGGGAAAGAAGAGCTAAAAAAATAAAGAATCATGGCAAAGAGTAAGAGAGTTTCCAAGAGACATGCAGTAACATTGCCAAGCAATTTAAATATCAGTCGAGGCTAGTATCATGAATCTACAATGATACGAATTTGTACATGGTGTGATTTTTTTTCTCTAGAAACACTTAGCTTAGATGAAGTATAAAAATACAGGTGGTCAAGTTAATGAAGGAGAGTACTTCAACTAAGATGAGATATACCTAAATTAATATCCATCATAAGCCTAGATGAGAAACATCATGAAACGCATTACACGGTGATTTTTATTTCTGTTTCTTTACCTTAAGGAAGTTAAAAGGAATGCTTAGTAGGAAAAAAAAATTGCCAATTAAAATGAAGAACATAATCTTATTAGTTGTGGCAGCTATTAAAACAATTTGCCATTCTTCATTAAACGTTTTCTATAATTTAAATAATATAAAAGGACCAGACTCAATTTTAGAAAATGAAGACAAGAAAAAACTACTCTCAAACATATGATTTTAACATAACCACTACGAAAATTTTGTCTAACATTTTATTCTGTAATTATTCATTTATATTTCTGAGTCTTCCAACTAGAATCTGAGCACCATGAAAACAAGAGCCAAATAATAAGAAATTGACAGTCCTTTGCCATGTATATAGTACCTTATGCATAATATATATATGCAATTTGTTCTGAGTCTGGCGTCTGGGAAAATATATCATGGATATATTTCCAAGTTGCTAGGTAAGCTTTGTTAAATTAATAAACAGAAACCTCATTAAATTAGAATCAGGAGGCCAAAAGGTGGCGCTCTCATGTCCTGTGTTGAGGACAGAGCCCAACAGGAAGCAGACTTCTTCTTAACCAGCAAGCTCAGCCAATGAGAGACTGTCACAACTCAGCCAATGAAAAGCCACCACACACTGAACTCTTGATTCCTCCAATGGACTCTGCTTACCACAGCCTTCCCAACGTCCTCTTCTCCTCTATAAAAGAGTTTCTATTCCCTTGCTGCTAGGGGATTTGCATGTGGCTTGCCATGGTTGCAGACCCCAAATGGCACTTCTTTGCTGATCCCAAATAAACCCATTTCACTGGAGAAATAACTGCCTATTTGTTTAAGGCCAACATTTTGGTGGCCCATATGGGAATCCAGAGATCACCCTGGATGACTCTGAGGCTGGTGAGCAAACACGTACAATACCCACAACAGAGACCACTGAGCTCACTGCTTTTCTTGCCGTCCCTGGAGTTTGAGGGTAAGTCTTTTTCCTGGATCCCAGCTTCCGCCCTCTTTGCATTTGAGGTTCTCCAGGCTTTATTTGAGATCTATTTTAAAGCTTCGTCCTTTTCTGGCTAGGGTCTTGTGTGTCTGTGAGTACTCAGATGGCACTTCGGCCTGACTCGCTGAATCAGGCTGTTCCTCTGATTCCTTTTGGAACTGGACTGCTTCTACTGAAACTGGTTAGCTTTCAGTCAGACTTTCAGACTGTTCATTGTAACCATGCCAGTCCAGCTTTCAGCCTGAGTCTCTTGGGGGCAGACTGCCCCTTAGAACTGTGTTTATCAACCTTCAGTTCAATTCCCTTGGGAATCAGATTATTCTTTGAAACTGCATTGTTCCTTGAAACTGTGTTTATTTGACCTTTGGTCCATCTTCATAAAATTGGACTGTTCTTTTGGGACCAGCTCGTATCAAGCCTGCAAGCTATCTGAGCTGTTCAAGCTATCTGAGTTACAAGCTGTTCAAGCTGCTTGAGAATCATTCTTTTGCTCTAGGAAAAAACCTCTTAAAGGGCCGCCCTGTGGCTTGGCGGTTAGGTGTGCGCGCTCCGCTGCTGGCGGCCTGGGTTCGGATCCTGGGCGCGCACTGACGCACCGCTTCTCCCGCCATGCTGAGGCTGCGTCCCACATGCAGCAACTAGAAGGATGTGCAGCTATGACATACAACTATCTACTGGGGCTTTGGGGGGAAAATAAATAAATAAATAAAAATTAAAAAAAAAAACAAAAAAAACCTCTTAAGAAATGGCGGCTCAGGTATCTAAAACTTTTGAGGGTACTCCTCCCATAGGGGCCCCGGTCAATTTTATGTTTAAAAAGCAAGGTCATTCCTCATGTGCATTTCTGACTAAATGGACTGATTTAACCAAAAATAATTTAGAGTGTCAATGGCATTATGGGAAACTTGTGAACTCCCCAAACTTACTTTTCTTAAAACCAAATTGGACAACCATAGCTTTGTAATTTCCAAAACTGAATGGAACATGTATTTTGATTGGTATTTTGAGGCTTCCAAATGTTATCAGAAGTCTAAAACTGCCTCTTTGCAAAATAAAATTTTAAGATGAACTGAAGCAAACAAACTATTAAAGAAAGATAAAATGGCTTCTGAAGCCTCATGTTCCTCTCCTCCGGCACCATCTTGTTCCTCTTCCTCTGCTTCTCTCAGGCTCCGCCTCCAGAGCTATCTCCCTCCTTCTCTTCTATACTGTTTACACCTCCTCTATACTATCAGTTCCCCCATACTAACACTCTCCCTGAACTTCCCCTTTTCCCTGATTCTCTCCCCACTCCCTCTAGCTCTGAACCTATCAGAACCTGTCCCTTCAAAATTAAGCCTTCTGAGGATCCAGAGGCTAAACCCTTAATTTCTTATGCTCTCTGGACTAAAGCTGAACTGAGAGCCATAGTCAAAAATTTTCCCAAACTGAAGATCCTCACAGATTTGCTGAGGAATTTAATATAGTCATTCAAACTTATCAACATGGTTTCTCTGATTTATATCAGCTGGTTCATATGCTTGTCAGTGAAGGCCAGGCCCAGCATGGCATGAAAATTGCTAACTGGGAAAATTCCTAAAGGTCTCTAGAATTACAACCAAGAGACCAATCCATTGACCTGTTGTATGATCAGGTTTGGGCAAGCACTAGACGACTTCATCAGGCAATTCCTAGGGCTTTCCCAAAACCTGTTGATTGGAACGCTTGTGCACATAAACCTGATGAACTTGTTTATGACTATTACAATTGACTTCAAATTGTTTTCTAAGAAAATTTTGGTCTTCCTTCAGATGTCAACTGCACCCAGGTAGCTTTTAACTCTGTTTATTAATGGACTGAACTGGGACCTTTCCCTTCTAGTAAAAAGGATTAGGATGGAATAGGAAACTACGTCCACTTCAGATTTAGTTAATCTGGCAAATCAACTCTCTCGCACTCTAGATGAGTCACCTAAAAGAAAGGCTGCTAAAATTCTTAGTCTTCAACTCCAGCAAATGAAGACCCCCTGAACAAAACCAAAAGCCTCCTAGTTTCTCTTATTATTGCAAGAGCCAGGACATTGGAGGAGATTGTTACATTAATTTAAGTGCTTTAAATGCCTTCAGCTCTCTAACCAACCTTTCCAATGTCCTCCAAATTCTCAGTGATGGGGCTCTGAGGAACTACAGGGACTCTTCCCAATCCTCTCTCTTAATTGGCTTGGAGAAACACTTCTCCAGATTGGAGATGAATCTCTTTCTGTCCTAATTGATACTGAAGCCATACTCTTGGTGCTCAACTCCACTACTACAAAACTTCCCCTGCCTTGGAGTACTAAAACAGTTCCAATAGTGGAGATTTCTGATAAACCTTAAAAGGTTCCTGTCTCTGAACCTATTCCCTTTGGTTTAGGCCCTTTGAGAGACACAACCTTTTCTCCTTAGTTCCTCCGCCCTTATTCATTTATTATGCCAAGACTTCTTAGAGAAGTATCATGCTGGAATTTCTTTCCCCTGAAAGGGGGAAATAATTCTAGACTTTGACAGTGGTCATGAAAACAGCCAATTAGGTGAATTAGAGGACCCTTGACATCTTTTATTTGCTCCATCTCTAATGGTAGTAGAGCTGATTCTAGAAACACTAATCATTTGTCCCTATTGAAGCCCTCCTTATAGGCAAAATCCCCAAGTTATATTGGTAAAACTCACAGCACACCTCCTATCAAGATTTAAATAAGTCCCTCAAAACCTCTTCCCAGAATGAATCAATATCCTGTAAGTAAAGAAGCCGTTCAAGGTATAAAGCCCATAACAAACGATTACAAGGCTCAAGCCCTCTTTACCCCTTGTACTAGTCCCTGTAATACTATTTTACCTGTGAGAACCTGCAAGCGTCAAGGGTGGGAGTTTGTCCAGGAGTCTGAGCAATAAACAACATTGTTATCTCACAACACCCTGCTGTTCCTAACTCTTATATACTACTAACATCCAATCCCACTGGAAGCAAATTCTTTACGGTACCTGATTTATGTAGTGCATTCTTTGGCATTCCAGTTGATGAAGCCAGTCAATACCTTTTGCCTTCACTTGGGAAGGAAAATAATTCACCTGGACAGTAATGCCTCAGGGTTTTACTGAGACCCCTTCTTACTTTTCACAAATCCTGAAGGCTGATCTAGATGATATAAAGCTTCCTAGAGACTCTACTTTGTTGCAATATGTGGACGATTTGGTTCTTTGCTCTCCCTCCCAAGTCTCCTCACAGGAAGACAGCATCCACTTGCTACAGCTTTTAACATCAAACGGACATAAAGCCACCAAAGAGAAATTGCAGTTTGCTCAAACCCAAGTTCGATATTTAGGGCATTTGATATCACAACAAGGACTACATCTAGATCCAGATAGGCTTCATGGTGTCCTAAGTTTTCCAAAACCCAAACCTAAGTACGAACTGCCAGATTTTCTCAGGCTAGTCGGTTATTGCCGAAATTAGATCCCAAATTTCTTTCTCATGGGCAAACCTCCGTAGGTTTTACTAAAGAACAACAACTCAACCCAATTTTATAGAAAGAATTGAACGACATAGCCTTTAAGGCCTTAAAGGAGAGTTTGATGAACACACCTGCCCTTGGACATCCCAATGATCAGATTCTCTTTCTCCTCTTTGTATATGAAAAGGAAGGGAATGCCCTTGGGGTACTCACCCAAAAACACAGGGACCTGCCACTGCCCTTTTGGTTAAAGCCATCAAGAAAATCATTGTGGGAGCCCCTTTAACCACTTTTGTACCTCATGCAGAAGAAGCCCTCCTGAATTTTCATCACACTCAATGTACTTCAGCCAGCCACCTCACCTCCTATGAAATCCTTTTGTTAACTGCTCCTCACATGACTCTTTTACACTGTCCTAACCTTAACCCTGCTACTCTTCTTCCCTCCCTACCGATGAAGTCCCTCATGACTGCTTAACACTGACAGATCACCTCCTGACTCCTCGTGATGATCTGCAGGAAACTCCTTCGGGTATCGTCAACTTCTCATGGTTTACTGATGGTTCATATTTAAAAGGTGATAATGACAAATACTGTGCTGGGTATGCTATTGCAACTCCTTGTGATATTGTTGAGGCAGCACCTTTACCTATGGCTACTTTGGCCCAACAGGCTGAATTATATGCTCTTACACGGGCTTGTACTTGAGCCAAAGGCAAAACTGCCAATATTTATACTGATAGTAGATAACGCTTTCTGAGTAGCTCATGATTTTGGAATGTTGTGGAAGCAATGTGGCTTCCTTACTTCCAGCAGAAACAAAATTTAAAATGGCCCCTATGTTCGGGAATTATCGGATACTATACTTTTACCTGCTGCTCTAGCTATTATGAGATCCTGGGACATTCTGGACTTGACTCTCTGGAAACTAAAGGAAATCACCTTGCTGATATTTCCACAAGAAATGCAGCCCTTAAAAGAACCAACAACAGCCAAGCCTCTGGCCTGGTCCAAAGGGATAGTTCCCTAAATTATAACTTAGAAAAACTGATTAGAGAAGCCCAACAATTGGCCTCAGGAAAGGAAAAACAAGATTGCAAATTCACTGGGCCGGCCCTGTGGCTTAGCGGTTAAGTGCGCGCGCTCCGCTGCTGGCAGCCCAGGTTCGGATCCCAGGCGCGCACCGACGCACTGCTTCTCCGGCCATGCTGAGGCTGTGTCCCACATACAGCAACTAGAAGGATGTGCAGCTATGACATACAACTATCTACTGGGGCTTTGAGGGGGGAAATAAATAAATAAATAAATAAATAAAATCTTTAAAAAAAAAAAAAGATTGCAAATTCAGTAACCGCTGGTTTGATAAAAACAGAAAGCTCTGGTGCAGACCAAATAACAACCCAGTCTTACGGGAGACTCTAAAATTCCCATTCCTAACACTGTACATGCATTAAACCATTGGTCCACTGACAAAATGACAGCATTTATGGTGAATATTGGTGGGAAAATATTAACTAGGCCACAAAAACAAGGCCTACTTCACTTGTCCCACTTGTTCAAATATAATCCAGGAAAGCCTGTTCGTACTGCTCCCGGACATTTTAAACTGCCTCAAGGACCATTCAAGATTTGGCAAATGGATTTCATACAACTTCCCCTGTCTCATGGATATAAATATGTTTTAGTCGTGGTCTGCATGCTTTCTCACTAGATTGAAGCCTTTCCTTGCTGACAGGCTGCTGCCTCTTCTGTGGCTAAAGTCCTTTTGGAAAGGATTGTCCCTACCTGGGGAACTCCGCTTGAGCTTCATAATAATCAAGAACTCATTTTACTGGTCAGGTACTTCGACAAGTCTGCACTGTTTGGCCAGTTTTACAACATTTTCACTGTGCTTACCACCCTCAATCCTCTGGTTTAGTTGAACACACAAACGGCATTATTAAGACCCAATTGGCAAAATTTGTAGAGACCCTCCAAAAAAACTTGGCCAAAAGCATTGCCCTTGGTCCTTCTAAATCTCAGATCCACCCTTTTTGGAACTCATAAACACTCACCCTTTGAGACAGTCACAGGACCCCCAATGCATTTGGCTCCTACCTCTTTTGACCCACAGCTGACAAAAGGAGATACACTCCAATATTGCCAAGGCCTAATTGCTTCTACTAAAAATAAACATGTTTTGGTAGAGCAATCTTTTCACAGTGTGCTTCAGGGAGACAAAGACCTTAAACATCACACTTTGCAGCCTGGAGATTTCATCTATTGGAAAAGACACCTCCAGAAGGACTCTCTTCAACCTCACTGGAAAGGCCCCTACCAGGGTCTGTTAACTAACCCTTGTGCCACAAAACTCCAGAGAACAGACCCTTGCATTCATGTGACACACCTAAAGAAAGCACTAAACCCTGACTGGACCTGCACACCATCTGGTGACTTGAAAGTAAAGATTTCCCAGAATTGAAGCAGATGACATCTGATATGAGACAGCTTTCCCAAGATGTCCAGACCAGGCCTGTTGGAAGTTTGTCTGCCAAACCTTTGATGATGACATAATGCTTCAGATGTTCTCCAATGCCTGTGATCTTGATAACATACGGACTTTAGCAAAGAAAAATGCCTGCGAGTTCTCCCTAGTATCCCACCTCGTTACCCAAATGTGGCCTCAATAGGTTTCCAATCTGTACATTTTCCCTCCAACATGACACTGAAGAAAAGTTCTTCCTGGGATCAGAGGGGACAAAAAGTTGCTGAAACCCAGAAAAACCTGACTCTTGATCAGTAATGCTTTCAGAGAAAGATCTTGATCAAAAGGGGTAAACATCAAATTAATAAATAGAAACCTCATTAAATTGGAGTCGGGGGGCTAAAAGCGGGAGTTCTCATGCCCTATGTCAACAGCCGAGTCCAACAGGAAGAAGGAAAGACTTCCTCTCTTTGACTGGCAAGAAGCTCAGCCAATGACAGACCGTCACAACTCAGCCAATATAAAGCCACTATACATCAAACTCTCAATTCCTCCAATGGACTCTTTACTTACAACAGCCCTCCCAACTTTCTCTCTTGTCTATAAAAGAGTTTCTCCTCCCTTGCTGCTGGGGAACTTGCACAAGGCTTGCCATGGTTGCAGACCCCGAATTGCAACTCTTTGCTGATTCCTAATAAACCCATTTTTGCTGAAGAAATAACTGGCTATTTGTTTAAGGTCAATAGCTTCCTAAATATCACTTGATAATCAAATTCAGGAGATGCTGTAAGAAATATGAATGTAATTTTTACATTCCCAGTACTTCCAATTTTTTGCTATGATAAATATCTCTGTAAGTCTAGCTTTTTCATATGCTGTACGATTTCCTTATGATAGAAGTCACTTCTATTTAGTCCTTTTAGATCTCTCCTCAAAAAGTACTTCATATTAATAGTCCATGTTTTAGAATTCTTTCCTTGTCTTGATATTTTCAAGTTTCCCTATTATGTGTCCAGATGATGAGTTTTCCTTCACTCTTTTTTCTTTGGCACGCTATGGACGGTTTCAATCTAAGATCTCTCATCTTTTTTAAGGAAGTTTACCTCCATTATTTCTTCAGATTATTTCCTCCCCTTCATTTTTCTCTCTCTCCCTTTCTGGGGCTCCTATTTGGATTCTACTTCTATCCTCCATATTATGTAGTTTTTATTTTACATATATATATATGTAAAATACATATTACATATAAACGTATATAATATGTATTATATATACATATATATATTTTACAGATATATGTGTGTGTGTGTGTGTGTGTGTGTGTACACACACATATAGTCTTGGTCCTCTCCTTCTTTCTAGAGATTTCCTAATCTGACCTACTCATCAATTATTTTGTTCCGTGGCTGTATTCATTGTGTTCTTGATCCCATTTACTGTGTTCTTAACTTCGACTATTATAGTTTTCTATATCTAAAATTTCCACTTGTTTCTTTTTAGTATTTTCTTTGTTTCAAATTATCATCATCTTCCCTCATTCTTTTATACGTTTATTGCACTGATTTGTTTTTTCTCTCTACTTCCTTGAGTACTGATCTTGGTAGAAAATCAGATTTTCTATTATTGCCAACGTGGATTAAAGACTTTTGGTCTCCTAAATCTTGACACACCCAGAAACAACTTTGAATATAAGCTTCCTAATATACTTTTTGAACAAAAATATTAGTTGTTCCTAATATTACAAGCATGGTGGAGAAAAGTCTGAGAAGTATAATTCCAAATACCTAGTAGTTATTATATAAATACATTATTCTGTCAGGAATGGGCACACACATACATCCAGAAATTCTGAAATAAAATGACCCTCTGAGTGTAAAACAAATAATATCAGCTATCTAAAGAAATAATTCACCATAAGACACGGTCTGTAAGTCCAGGTTTAATCAAGGCGATCGGGACATAGTTTCTGCAAACACATGACTAGAAATTAATGGGAAAGGAAGCTGCAAAGCAGTCAACTGCTTTACACTGAGGGAAAAAGAATGTTACCAAGATGGTGATAATCTTTAAACATGCTCTAACTGTCCTTATTCTGATGTCAGATTCACTAAGCAAGCAGCTTCCCAATTATAATTTGTTTTCCCAAGATTACTTTAAGGAAGAATTAAGTCAAGAACATTTAGCATTCTTGATAGTTACGTTTTTATTATAAATGATTAAATAACATTCTTCGCTACCTTTATTTTTGAGACACTGTCTTGAGTCAGCCCACCTGATCAACTCGAG